AAAAATATAAAATAACGATAATAGCCAGGATTAAATGCAACCAGTACCTAAACGAGCAACGCAACGTTTAAAAAATATATTAATCTAGGAATTGACGAAATGTAACCTTGCAAACGCAGACAAGGACTGCAGCGATAATAATTGCTATAACAACTTTTTGGAACGTGTTTTTACAATCTTAAGGACATGACACACACTCACACACAGGTGTCTGTTTGTACAAATACATGCAGGTACATACAAGCAATCAATGAGGCAATTGAAGATGACTGCAAAGGATAAGTAGCAGATGTATTTCTTGGAGTTTCATCTCAATACCAACAATATTGTAGGAAATAGTTATAAATAGTGTAAGCGGCAGATATCTAGAAAGGCGCGCTCCTAAACGATACACGCGGTAGTACATAGAGCTCAATTAACTTATTTATAGAACGTAACAACACATCCACACATTCCTCAGCTCATCAAGTCTGCAGGCTGCACACGAATGCCTAACGTGTCTAATTTGTAAACCATTAGCTTAGCATAGCAGCTTGCATCTCTTACTGTCCAAAGTAAACTTTAAAATTCTTTAGCTCCAATCTTTTAGAAGCGCATTCACATTCCTCTTAGTTTTTGCATTATTATTACTCCAATAAAATAAAATAAAAGACCTTGATTCTAGTTAATATTCGTAGGAACTAGTCTCGCTTGACCGGTCCTGGGAGTGAAGCTGTCCTGTGACATTCTTGCAGCAACTGAGCCGGCCGTCACGGCCGCTGCTCGTCGCCGCAAGGACGCTGTCGTGAGTCGTGTCGCCGTCGTCGCGCGGTGTCACGCCACGCCAGACGCCCATTGACCTCCCAGTTACGAGCGTCTTCCTATGTCAGCGACGTGACCCGGTTAGCAATATAGCGTTGTTTATGTTCGCCGCGTCTTTGTCTGTGCACCAACTCTTAATGAACATCTGTTCGCCACCACTTTATATGCTATTCTTATGTTTTCATTGAAAATCGCAATCCCGCATTGTGCCAGACTGATTGACGTTTCCACTGATACAGCAGTTGCTGTAGTAAGGTCTCACATATAACTACGGTGACCTTGTGCCTTAAATGTCACTATAAAAGGACATCGACGTGGACCAGATAAAATAACACTCGAAATATTTATAAAATGTCGTCGTTATTTATATATAGTTGGTATTCAGTGTACGTACATTATGTATAAGGTCAAAAACAATCGATTGTCAGTCAGGCCGACCCGAAATAGCTGACAGAGTACATTCGTTAATGTTCGAAGCTCCGAGTATTGTGCGCGCGATGCTTTTAACACCACTGCGATATAAATACTCGATAATTTACTAATTAGTTCAATTATATTGCTTTTACGTGGCGGCGGTTAATCATTGTTATCGCTTCGATCAGTAGAATTTTGTTAATTAGGACACGAAACGTTTCCACTGAGCTTTATGTTTTAGTTGGCCGGCGTTACAACTTATGATATATTGACACACGGTATACAATGTGAAATGATCTCCGACGAAAGATAGAAGAAAACTGTAGAACAAACTACTTTTCATACAACTAGGTATAGAATACCAACATATTTGTTCATGTAATTAGTTAAACACCAACAAATCGTTCTTCCGTTAGCAGAAACGATAATAATTACATAATTCTGTGTAGTGCGGTATCGAGAAACTGTGAGGATATTTATTTTATCGAAGGCCATGCATTCAATTTCAGATTACTAAGGTCACGTTATATGCAGATGGTATCAAAAGTATGTAGGTACACGAGCGATTCAAATAAAGTCCAACTAATTACTATGATATCATAATAAAGACGAAGAAAAATACTTATGTTGAATTTTCTATTCCCTGCGCCAAAAAAGATGTAAGTATTTAATTGAAGTTTCCATGTTCTAATCAGCTGAGGCGGCCGCCCGCCGCCTATCATTATAATATCGAGTACAACAAAAACACAACAGTTCGGTACACACGTCCGCGTTACGTCACCGTTTCCGAGCGGCGCGTACGCTGACCGTGACCGCGCGGCGAAAGTGTGGGCGACCGGCGCCCGCGCATCGCACCTAGCAACAATGCGGAGAAGGTTCACTCGTTACACAGGTGTATTGTAGGTAATAAGTACAGATAATAAACAACTGTGCATAACATATTAGATAATCTTAGCATAAACATGAATAGTAAAAAAAAATATTGCACTTTATCCACTTGATCGCGCGTTCGGACGGTTAGGACTTAACCGCTAGGATCCCAGATTTTCCGTAATGGCTGACGAACCGAATCGGAACTTCTAATTCATTACATTTGTCATTCATCGGGCGATGGCGTGCGGACGTCCCACTGACGAGGTATCGAGACCGTTACTCATTGAAATGTGGGACTACGGCCACGAATGTTGGCACGAGGAGTCGAGGAATATAGTTTTGTACGAGTAGCTGGGACGATGCGTCGCTGGGAAATGGGGCGTGACAACGTCGCTACTTGTATGCACGAATGTAATCTAACGTATGTGCGTCTACTTAATGTTGTCAATCACAACTGTTTGTTCTGTTACTGCAGCCAAATATTTTCGGTAATTAATATAATAGGCATGTCACTGAAGTTGCTGCCACATTCTTTACATCTATTTTGTTAACTTTCACTTTCGTTCAAATGGTTGAAAGATTTTCAATTCATCTATCAGTTTGCATAATATGGGAGTTTTTGGTGTTAAGTATACGTAGACTTTGACAGCAGTATTTTTGGGGATAAGTGAATGTGAACTGAATCGACGCAAGCGCAGGATCCTCCCTCGACCTCAATGATACTGAATAGATCTTCTTACTAGAAGTTTTAGATTATACTGGTGTACAATAATGAAGTAATTTATTTGAGAAAAGTCACTTATAGAAGTAATGGAATCTAACTAATGTGGAGCTTCGCATCTGGAATTAATTCTTGGGAATATTACTTTATTTACATACATATAGTGAGTCCATAGGTTAGTATATTATGTAAAAATAACAATTTAAAAGTAGGCAATTTTCGAAAATAGCAGTTGAATCATCCTACAATGCATCACCAGCCAGCTTTTTATACTCACATACGATACAATATGTTACATCTAATTGTTCAATATAAACATTGAACAACATTACATTTGTCTGAATTAAAAAAAAAATATTACATAAATCTACGTCGGCGTCAGAGTGCACTCCATACCGAATATCAAACAAGAAATAAGGAAATGTAGAACAAAACATTATACGAATATGTACGAGTGTGTGTTCTTGTGTGCGTTAAGTAGGTATGTCTGTCTGTGCGCGTCGATTATGTGCAGCTACATAAAGAAGCGATTAAGATGTTTATTTATTTAGGCAGGTTATACAAGTGTGTGAATTAAGTCATCGATGACATTTCTGTACATGGTCAGCAAGACATTCTCTCGAACCTACACGACTGGATTCACAGCATACTGCACAAATCTAGGTATGTAAGTAAGTTTTGTGACTTGCTATCAAGCAGTGTTGCAATCAACTCAATGCCAACGACCAGCAGACCTGTAGCTCAGTAATTGCGGAACAATATTTTTTATTCTTTCAGTAAGTAATCAAATAACTCCATTACTGCAAATTACACGTTAATGTTAGTTGTAAAAAAAACGGATTTGCGTTTATGTTTCTTCTGGTTTGTTTTGTATGGTGCAGATTACATCATAACGCGACAGTAATCTAATTAGTTGGCCTCGGCTTTGATTAACTTTGTACGAAAATTGTACAAACAAAACTTATATCACTAAAATCAACAGAATTGTGAATTATTATTATTCGATATGGGTGGCTATTTATTAGTTCTTGTAACAAATCTGTCTAGCAATCTCTGTCATGTCATCGAGTGATCCAGCAAAATGAGACCTCCATTATCCACAGCTTAACGTAGATCCATTAAGTCTCTGCGGAGATTACCCCGCGCCAAGCTGCCAGGCTGCCACTCCGCACATTGTTTACCAATCTTCAGTCGCTTCCTGACAAGTCAATCTGCCGGGCCAGCATTACGGCATTAACGATTCTTTTACGTCACTCGCAAAACACTTTATCAAATAGATTTCGGTAGCGTAATCTTGTGGCGGAGATTAAGCTAACCTTGTTGATGTATTCATTGAAACCAATGATATAATATGTATGTTGCGATAAAATGCATTAATATCACAATGAAAAGATGCAAAAGCACGTTCTGCCGCGACGCCGGCGTCCTCTGCTCTAGCCCAGCCGGCCGATAGTTCGAAAGTAAACATTATTATCTACTAAAATAGGTCACAGCGATTGTATAAAATTGTTCGTACGATCATAATCAAAATGGTGCTTACACTGAGCTTCTAGTGAAACTGAAATAAAACAAAACTAGTTCGCGAAAATGGAGCGCGGGCATGTAACGTGACAGTTGTTGTGGCGCGATATTCCAATGATTACATAATTTAAGTAATGGCGGGCGGAGGCGCGGCCCTGCTTACCCGAGGCCTACATTAACCTGATCACAACGGGAATTAACGCTAAACACGAGCCAGACACTGCACAACTACCAGTTGGTCATCCAGGGTATTATGGAGGACTAGACGAACCATTGGAGTGCTCAATCGGAAGATATGTCAATATGTAACACAACTATTAAGGATAAGAAATTGCTTGGCTTATAGGTAGGTCGCCAGACTGTGGAAATAACAAGAAAGACCCTGCAACGAGATTAGTCAGATATGGAGGAAAGGAGAATATAGGAGAAGGAAAGGGGGTTAAATATAATAGCGTTCGGTATTCTTGGTGTCGTAGGAAGAGTTTAAATATGGGAGAGCCATGCTTTGCCGCAAATTGCCAATGGCACGACCGGAGTGATACAAGAAGACTTTAAAGAAAACATACGTAAAACAACACTGCGGTATATTTCGCCTGACCGTTGGGAGGCCCAAACGTTACCATTCATTATTCCCCTAGCCCTAGCCAGCACTACCAGCGCAGTTACATCCATGGGTAACGCTGATTGCTTACCACCAAGAGATCCAATTAAGCTCGCTTACCGCCCTACTCCAAAACAAAAGTATGCGAAGGACAGCACGCGACCGCCGCGCGCCAGGTCACTGCCCAACACTCGTTTGATTAATATATTCACATGAAATCTCATGTGAATTTACATAAATAAAATGTTTAACAAGTAGATATATTCATGTGTGCGTTATTCTACAGCAGTAGTACCAGCAGGGAATGTTTGCCATATAATGGAAGGTATACCATGGATGTATACCTAGTTCTCCTGACATAGAACAAGGGTTTTCTTGAGTAGACGTTCAGCGTCAATGTACATAAGTCTAAGTCGGCTCGACCGGAGTGACAGAAAACCGGCGTGAAACAACCACAGCGTTGTGTTTCGCTGTATTGGTGAGATTATCGAAAGCCCAATCCTTCCCCAATACCAAAATCTTTTAATCCCCAATCCCCAAAAGGTCGGCAACGCCCTTGTACCTCCTCTGTTGTTTTAGGTATCAGGTAATCCGTTTGCTAGTATCATATAAAAAAGTTGATGTTAAGCAGTATAAGTTCCTACTAATCCTTCAGTAACACCACTATGACACGTATCACAGTCCTGTCTGTTAACTACATTAAACAAGCAGCCCCATCTTCAGAAAAAAAAAAACGAAAACAAGTTCTTCGCATGTGATGCCATGATCAAGAGAAATTGAGATGTAAATTTAAATTAATAGAAGAACTACGTGCTGATATGCATAGTGGGAGTAACATTTCGTCCAAACCTAGGATTCAGTCTGCATAGCCCAGAACTTCATGTTCAGCAGCAATACAAACTACTGGTAAAAGAGTAGAAGTAGCCAACTACTGTTCATGCTGGAGCTCCATAAACAATGGTTGACCTTCGAGGTCCGCTGGCCGCTCAGTCTCAACACAAACAATAATTACAGTTATCTAGTAGTTCAGTTATGAAATCTTGTAAATGCCTCGGATTAGACTAACCGCATGACATTGACGGGCGCCTATTATTGTTACTATAAAACGGTTTGCGTTAACAGTCCATTGTCGGTTCGTCTCTACTTTGTTTTACTAACATTTGATAGCTACTTTCTATTCAATAAGTATGGTATTATAGTAGCCAGGAAGGCACGAATGTAAACAATTGGCTATAAGGAGTAGGTTCGTCTGAGGATATGAATGGGTAGGTATATCGTAAGGGAAGGAGATATACCTTCACCAAATCTACCGAGCAATCACAGGACCACTAGATCAAGAACGCAATGTTTCAGACTACCTACTTGGAAGATATGATCATAATAACTCGAAGTGGTTGCCCCAGGTTGAGGTCGTATACATGTCTGACATTGGCGTGCTGCGGGGCCCTTAATCTCTTTAACGATACATCAATAATTCTCAATTAAAGAAAATATCAATTACATTAATGAATCAAGTCCGTGCGCAGTTTATGGGACGAATTTACGATAGTCTGTGGCAGCCTTTGTGTAGTGACGTAATTGACATAATGGTCTATTAATTAAGCCGCGGTTACTTCACAATATTTCAATGTTCAGCTATAATGGATGGAGTTGCGTGAAAAAACGCTGTAACTCTCCTGAAATATGAGTGCGAAACGCAAAAGGGCGCGGCCTGACGCCACGGCTCGGAGGTTACACCGCGGCTCGTGCCGGCACGATACTCAACTCCGGCTGAAACTATTTCATAACACGACATTACTAAATGTACATAATACACATGTAATCAGTAAATAATCTGCGTTTACCTATTCTTTACCACGTCCCTGTTGTATAAACTCTACAACTTGAAGAAAGCCACAACTCATTTTTATTATGAGCATAATTTTGCAAGCTACGTACTAAACTCAATGTCCGGCTGTCTAATAATAAGTAACGCAGGAAGGTTACCCAGTGAGATGGTTCGGTAAATGCGAAGGTCAGCTTAAATCCAATGTTAGAGCAAGCGGAGTGACCACATCAACTGCCTATATCTCCTTTCACGTGGTTTGTTTGAACTATTGAGAAATATTTTAACGATATCAAATTGAGTTTATTTGATAACCGATTTATTTTTGATTACTACATCGACCATGAACTTTCTTTAATATGTTCTTGGTATGTAGTACTATTATAGGTTCCTGGTTATATTTTTATATCGATATTAACAACATTCTTCAGTACGGAAGAGCCATGCTTCGGCACGGGTGTGTCGGATCGAGCGGAGTGTTAATCTGGCCTCACAGAAAACCGGTGTGAAGCAAAACTTAGGTTGTGTTTCGCCGTCTGAGTAAGATTATCGCCAATAATTCTCAAATATCAATAATAAATAGTATCATTAAGTCCCTGATAGCCCACAAGACGCGGGCAACGCACTTGTAGCTTTTTGGTATTACAAGGGTCCATGCAAGACGACGGTTGTTTGAAAGGTATATCAATACCTTATGGCTTATATCTATTAAAACACCTCTTTTTATAAGTAATCTTAAAGTAAGTAACGAGTTACATGCATTGGATCCAAAAATAATTTGCATCGATTTCAACGGGCAGTCACAGAAGGCTGGCAGCATTGCCACATTGGATGTAAATGATTAACCCTTTATCCGCAGAACAGACCAGTGCCGCAATTTTTTGGATTTCTTGATACTGATCTCACTTAACACAAACTTGTTGACATTTATATAATGTGAAACTAGCAAAAATAGCAAGATTATCTTGATCAAAGGAAGTTCTTGAAATATATGTTTTTGGAAGTTTTAGAGTTATTTTCACTTTAATTAAGTTATGTTCAGTTGATGTGTGTTTTGCGTGTCGTCTACATTTGACTAATTCTCATCTAATATCATATATGTAGTTATTAAGGACAACTGCTGGCCTCCGTCCTGGGGCCGCCGCTCCTAGCTGATGAATGTGCCGATATATGTGTATCCAACGTATCAATATAAGGTATTTACATCCCCGATTATTTTGTAACAACTATCCATTTCTAATAATTAATGGTTATTCATTCTCCATTGATGGAAAAATTTTGTTTTTTCATCAATGGTTGTTTTTTTAACCGACTTCATTAAATTTTCGTATTCTAGTAACCATTACATACACGGAACTTGACTACTGCACTCTACTTGTAAAACATTATTTGATGACTACATACAATTTTACCTCCATTTCATATACCCAATGGTATTATAATTCTAGTACCGGATTGATTGCCATTGCTCCGATATTGATTTTCCGGATAAGGCGCACGCTCTACCTGTGTATGGCCAGCACTGCTAGTGCGGCGCTCAGCTGGATCGGACTAACGATGATTACCAAGCAACTGTGGTATTTGACAAAAATCCTAAAAACTGTTATCTCCGCGAAGACGTTTTTGTTCCTGCGTTTGTTGGGAGGGCACTATTCCAAGATCTCTTCCAACAGACTGGTGTGTGCCGTCGGTGTCGTCTACTGCACCATGTTCAGCGTGTACGAGGCCATGCACATGCTGGAGTTACTCGCCCGGAATATGACGCCGACCTCGATACAAAGAATATCATCGGTTACTCTGTACTTGTCCAGCGTGGTCACCTCGCTCAGGTATCCCGAATATTTCCAAGTATATCTAAGTGACATGGCCGACATAGACATTTTACTGCGGGGGAAATCGGAACTGGATATACCATTCACCCGGTTCTTGTTTTTAGCAATTCTAGTGACTCAGGTCAGCTTAGTAGGTCCATACATTATCCTAGGGTACTTGGAGAATGAAGAAAAAATACAAGTTTCGAATTTCTTATTTGTGGGCTATTTTGTGTTGCAATGTGGAATTATTTATTTAACGGCTATTATGGTGTTCGAAATATTGTGGTATAGAGTGAGAAAATTCAGAGAATATTTGGAAAAGCACTTGCTGCAGCTGTGCAGGGCTCAGGACGAACGGACCGCGGCTGACGATATCTACAAGTGCATGCTGCTCTACCAAACCATCCTGGAAGCTTTTAAGAAGACGAACGCTCCCACCAAAACTGCAGTTAGTAGTATCTCATTTATTTCTACCTCTGTAATTTTTAGTTTTTTACATTTTCTAGACTTATTTCGTAATATTAAAGTTAAAGGTCATTTAACAAATGAGTGTGTTTCAGATACTGATGGCCACGACGATAAGTTTCTGTAAGGTTCTTGCTGGAGTTTTCGACCTTATTTCTTCTACGAACACTCACGTAAGTGTTAAGTGACTCATGGTATTTATTCTGTAGATAAGAGTGGTAATGTTTATATTCTGCCAGATCATTGATGATGTCTCAGATAAAACTGCTGCGGGTTCACGAGTCGTTGTTAGACGGGGTGCTGCCACTGGTGCCGGCTATGTTGGCCGCGTTCATACAGGGCGAGCTTAACCGCATCAAGCTCTTCATTGGCAACCTGATACTAAATGCTAACGGTGAGTACTATAATGTAAAGAGACCAAGACTAGTAATGTTAGCTTGTTGTTTTTCAAAAGAAATTAATCCAACAAACAGTGTTCCAGGATCACCATCCACCATCATTACCATATTGGATTCTTTAAACATCTGCCCCGCTAAAAACAATGATAAACAATTGAATGATGAAATAAATGACATTTTTATTGTATTTTTATGTCAAATGCAGTCTAAAAGAGTACTGATTTTTCTATTGTATTCGACCAATGCCTAACACTCATGGATGAATAGCCTTCTTATTCTAAATGTCTTATATATATTGTTGCTTGTCAACAGAAGAGAGCGTGCACGACGCGCTGCGCGACTGCCAGCTGTATCTGGAGCATCGGCCCTTCAAATACTCCGTGTGCAGGCTGTACACCGTCGACCTGAGCCTTGTCATCACCATCATCAACCTCTACGTCACCTCCCTCATCGCCATGATACAGTTCTCTCACTTTTATAATTGAATTTAAATTTTGCTAGTTGACTTTCTTTGTTCGTAACATTGTCATAAGGGGTAGTCTGCTTTTGTTGTGTTAAAAATCATTAATATTGCGAAAATATTCATTTTAGCACGCCATTATAAATAGCCAGTAAGTACATCATTTTACAAAAATGTAGTTATTGGTTTCAATCAATGTTGAGCGACGAATGACGTACAGTACGAAATGGTTCACCGTGACTGATGGCAAATTTGTGATACATTGGTGACGCAACAAGTCCTTCACGCGTCAGTGGTGCCGTGGGGCCTGACATGTATATCGTACGTCGGAAGCAGCCGGTAATCGGGCAGGGCGGCGCGCTGGCCATCCGGCAGCCGGCGACCACTCCCCCGGCCGGTCAAGGGCGCCGGGACCTGACAGTGAGCCACTTTGCTGGGTAATGAGAATGTATAGCGCAGAGCCAGTGTGGCACGTCGTCGTGCGAAATTGTGTGTTTATTACTGTTTCACTTTATTTATGTGTCTAATAAACGTCTCATGCTTAGAGTAAGGCCTGTTTTATGTTTTTACATTGCGAGCCTATTAAACCGTTGTATGCCCGTTTACGACTTCATTTCATAAAGGTACCTAAATACTCGTGTAAGTAGTCTAGTAACTGTTAGGTTCGTATACCTTCCAAACGCATGATTATACAACATGACTGCTGATCACTAATGTCCGTTGTTCATAATTAGAATAAATTCTTTCTAATTTATACTTACTGTATGTCAACCATAGAGTAGTGCAAAGAAATGAAGTGGGAAACAAGCCAGGAAGTAATATTCCAGAAATAAAGAAACAACATTGTTGTATCCACTAATTGAAGCATAAGATATACATTTATACATGTACCTATAAATTGAATATGTATATTATTAGAATATTCAGATCATCATTATCATTTCATCACGAAATTAACAGGTTCCTATTGCAATACAGCTTAATACAACTTAGATGAGAAGCGAAAGAAATCCATAAATGATAAATGAAGAATGGTTTTTTTAGAGCAAGTTATGACCATGAACTTTAAACCTTATGTACATAAGATAGGTACAATTGTAATATGTCAAGACTTTCTCAATACAGAGTGAAGAGGCTTTTGTTGTTATATGTGACATGTTGTCAAATGGCCCGAGCGCCATTGTCCATGGCGGATGAGAGACAAGGTCGGGAAATATACCTAGACTGAGTGACTTTATACCTATTGGACGACATCACAAGCTCCTCACTAGCCACAAAGTGATGAGTGAATACATAGGTCAGTAGATTTATGTATTTATCATAATCGGTATAGGTACATAAAACTATAGCCTGTAAAATAACCGTTTTACCTCGGTAAAAGCCTATTGAAATGCATTATTTTGCTTATTCCTCCGGCTCTATGCGATTTGGTCATCAAGAAACTGCCGATCATAAAAATCGTCTACATAAAAACACTAGTTATAAATTCTTTGGAATTGAAAATTCGAATGGAAGAAATTGTAGTCATAAATAAAAAAATACACAAATAGCTATCTGCCATTGTTTACCCGTTCGTTCTGTGATGACGAGTATAATTAATACGTCGTTATTTTACCCATTATCACGAATATGTGCGCACATTACCCCACATATACTTACGTAACTATTGGCCTAGTTTACCTACTTATATACTGCTAACTATTAAGCGACGTGATTCAGTCATTTTAGAACCTTAGAGTGTAAGTATAAATATTTATTTGCCTTCAGTAGATCTGTCGTGGTGGCCCGAAGGTTGATGCGCCCGCTTCTCGTGAATGTTTTTTTTAATGGGACAAGCCCGCCGCAACCTCCCTAAACCGCTGCGACTTCTGTAAGCCAGGATCTACAGACTAGATCTAGATACAACCATGAAAATACCGGAACACTGAAGTCCAGCTCGTCCCAGGGACATAAATGACTGTCTTGGATCCCGCAACGAAATAAATCAGAAAATATTATTTGAGGAGAAGAAAAAACTAAATAGTTTCCACTTCCTTCATGAATGGTTATTTGGGTTCTAAAGCTTGCAAGTATCAATGTGTCTTTTTCCGAATCATATGTATGTACTTTCTTAGTTCATTAATTTATCAAACCCCAAACGAACATCGGCGTACGCGCACCTATTGTTTTTGTATTGTGTCTCGTATTACCAGGATTGAAAGGTTGAGACACCATAGATATACGGTGAAAGAAAACATCGTCAGGAAATCTGGACTTATCATTTAAATTATAACTTTGAAATTGCCAATTCACCTTGACCAAGTGTGGTGATTAACGCTTAAACATCCTCCGCGTGAGAAGAGGCCTTTGCTCAGCAGTAGGCACTTATAGACTGATGATGACGATGATGAGATCTACCTATCAATGACCGGTAATCACAAGAAACACGTAAGTAAAATACATGTCACAAGAGACATATTTAGTTTAGGACGTTTTCTGAAAACAATATTTTCTGTTGCAAAGGAATGCAGTAAGACATCTAACTTATTCAAGTAATCACCAGTAGGTACAAATGTGCAACTCTGCTCTCATCCAGTTTGTTAATTGGACCGTACCGTAGTTAATAGAGTTAACATCAGCGACAACTGCAAGTCTAGACGTTGGCTCATCAGTGTTGCCAGTGTAACATGATCCGCCACATTCCGTGTCAATGTCACACAGATACCACGCAGACACCGCCGCTGCTAGTCTTACAGAGAAAGTCACGTGTTCATATTGATTACAATTTAAATTAAACTTTTAATGCTAATTAAAAAACGATGGTAAAATCAATTAGATTTTTTCAATTTGACTGTTATGTAAATATTATACAATGGCACTGACTGTGTCTGGTCTATCGCATTCTTTAATGAAAGATATAGCAAGGAAATGTACTAAGTTAAAAAACGTAATTCTGGATGAATTACACTTTTAAAAATATAGACATAAGCATAAGATACTAAATTTAAATAGTTTGGAATGCGACGGATAAACAATGCATTGCACAGTTATTTTCCGTGTAAACAAGATCGAGATATATCGACTTCATAGTGATAACTTGCAGACTTCTCCTCGAGATCCTCGCGCCGACGGTAACGTGGCGCTGCACTATGCAGGCCTATACTTACGCAGACGCATTGTGATGCTAAATCTGGAACTAGTCTGAATTCTGTTTACTTGTATAGATCTGGTAAGACTACATGTCAGGATCAAAGTTTACTCATTGCTCGTGTTTATGACGTCAATACGCGGGTAGTTTAGGCGGGAATAGGCTGCTAGCTTCAGCTATGAGAATAAATAAAAAAATATTACTATTATTATTAATTTTCCCTAGTTTCCGCGGTAGTACATAATGGGACGACCCACTTCACTAATGGGTATCACCACTTCGTCTCCGTTTGGTTGAGCCAAAGATCCACAATGAACATGTTTATACAAAGTCAAAGAAAATGCTTTACTACGTCGTACAAGTACTTACAATTGCTTTATTGCTTATAAACCGTCGACGTCGGTTTGCAAAACATAAATCCTTCAAACGTACTGAATATAGTCACGTAAATGCAATATGAACTCTGAGTCGTTTGATTTAGCGGTGGAGTTTGTTTGGAGCGTTGAGAGTTAGTTGATTCTGTACAAGCCACGCATGATTAAATCTGGATGCATGGCGGCCTTCGCCTGAATTGGCAGGCGACTGGTGTAGTGGTGAGTGCGAGTGTGAGTGACGCCACTTTAGGACTCGCTCAATGAAGGCACGCGACTGCCGCGGGGTTAACGACCAGACAATCGATCTACTTGCACTCAACTCTTCACTTCTTCAAAACCTTTACAACCATTAAATGTGAGCTACAGGGAATGAAAGCAATTAAACATGTTCCCCTTGAACTCTCGATAACATGGACCTGCCAGCATTTGAAAAGTGATCGTCACCAGTCGGTGTTTATCGTCTCAGTGCCCTATTGCTCCAAATTCCTCCATGACGGGTTAATTATTGGAGTAAGAAGCTTGACGTTGTCTCTGACGCCAGGTGTGTTCCCTCTTCTGTTCCTGAGTGCGACGAGTGCGCAGCCTTGACCTACATACTGAACATAACTCAACGTGCACGCATTCGGAGGGAACCCTTTGAACTTTCCAGAAATTTCCATCTACTGACGAAGGATTGTTTACCTCTAGGGAAGGACAATGATGGTAACCAAGATAAACTTTTAAAGTACTGAATCTATATATACAGTCTTCAGCGGAAATGGAAAATTATTAAATGAAACAAATGAATGAACCTGGGAAGCTATCTATAGGTATGAATAACACAGTTCAATGGCAAACTATTCTTGTTTGATTGACTGCGGCATGAGTTTACAAACATTTCTATGAACTTTAAATAATAAAATATAATATAGTGCCCACTGATGTAATCGTAATCAATAGGCTTTTCATACAGTTGTCTAGGGTTCCACGCCCTTGAGCTGGCAGCTCAGCAACAGTCTGTACGTCGCTACATCGGTTACATCTACATCTGTTCATCATTCAATATTAAGTACTGAGGTAGGTACTGAGTACATCACATGAAGCTTGTTTGAAGCTACTGAAAAATAATACCAACCTAAAATGTGTAATTTTGCCATATTAGCAATTTCTTTTTATTTTATAACATCTCACGTAAGTAGATCTGCTATTATAGGATAGGTTATGCGTTTTATTTAGAAGAGAAGGTTGAATTAAAAAATACAATATTATCAACACTGTTCCGTTTAGATATTCATCCTAAATTGATTTTCGTAGGAAAGAAATATCTGATTATTATATGTATATTATTGTTTCACGAATCAATTGAGCAAATAAGACAAATGTACCTCGATGGATCGGTCACATTGAAGATACAATTCTCACATTCGTTACTCATACATGTCTACACACTATACATATGTATCATAATAAAATAATTGACAACATTTTTTATGTGATGGGTTGGCATACACATACGAGCGTGCGTATTACCTGATGGTAAGCAAT